GGCCAGGGCTGGGTTTTACCTTCCTGCGGTAACAGCCATCTCTCCTTTGTGGCTTTTGAGAAAGAGGCAAACATTGTGGGCTGTACCCAAATGAGGTACTGTAAGACATGCTAAGCATTCCTTTTTCTGTATAAGACTTCGGCAGGAATACTTATTCTGGTTTTGTGCACGATGTTTCCAAAAAGGTATTGACCAGAGGTCCCTGTTGACAGTTTGAAAGACATAGACAGAGGTATAAAAGAAATATTCAGGAATGATAATTTCGTACTCAGAGAATAACATGTAAAGCAGCAAATAATGGTGCCACGCAAGCTGTGTATTTTTTTCATGGTTTTTTGCTCCATTTATGAACTGAATAAGCTCTTTTTACTTGTGGGTGTGGTTATACCAGGTTCTGCTGAGGTATTCTGGGAGTTGTAGTTCTAAGACTCTGTTACACATGCTCACTTGAATGCTTATATGGGATTGGCTTAGGAAATTACCTGTGTGACGTGGGATCATTTGAAACTACTGTTTAAGCTGTGACTATTGGAATAAAGAGAGATTCGTTAATCACCACACTGGTGTTCACCATGGTCCCTATGGGACTTATTTATTTATTATATTAATAACTGCTACATTTACTCTTCCAGTCTAAGGTCAAAATAATTTGTGTCTTTAGTGGATACAGCAAAAACAATCTTAAATTGCGATTACAAGAGCAATTCATGTTTGACAAGAGAAATAGATTATTGAGAGAATAATCTATTATTCTAGAATAGATTATTGAGAGAAATTATGAAACCTCCATTGCTAGAGGCCCTGAGGACATTAAAGAAGCAGTTTTTAAAACCAAAATAGGTATCATGGCTACTGCATTTTGGAGAGGGTAAAGTACTAAGTTTCTCAGAAGCCTCTTTTCAACTCTGTTTGCCTGGCTTCATCCTGCAGCATATAAAAAACCCCCTACACCTCCAGTTTACAGGATTATCTGTTTGTTTGTTTGTTTTGGTTGTTGGGTTTTTTTGGGGGCGGGATTTTTTTTGTTTGGTTGGGGGGCGTTTTTTGGGGGTTTTTTGTTTGTTTTTTGTTGTTGCTGTTGGTTTTTTGTTTTCTAGAAATAGATTAAAATGTTTTTAAAAATATAACGTAGCAATACAGTTAGTTTATCTTAATTGTTAATCTGGGAAAGTTTGATTTTTTGCAGACCGTAATTTTACAATTTACACCTGTAGAAAGGGAGCAGGACTAAATTCCTTTAAGCATAAAGAGACCACAGAGATAGAATTGATATCTTCCTTGGTAGTTGTTTTAACTTTATTTGTATGTGAGGTCAGTTTTTCAATTCCTAATGAAATTGTCTTGGTCTGCTTCAGAGACTTTTTCTTGGACCACAGGTCCTCAATTGAAAAAACTCTAACAGAAGAAGTACCTCTTTAAAACACTTAAACTTTTTACCTCTGGTCAGCTAATATGCAGTGAGGTAAGAAGCTAGAGTTTGAAATTGTTTCTTTTTTAATTTCTGCTTGCTAGATGTATATTATTGTTGTTGTAATATTGTTAAAATATAAAGCGGATGTTTAAGCCAAAACGAAAGGAAGTAGTGAAAGACCTGAGTTTTCCATTTTTATTTAGTTTGGTTAGTTCCTGCTGCACAAATACTGCTACTGACCAAGTGTAATATGAGAATGCATAACCAGTGAGGCAGCTTACTGGCGGTACCTGTCTCCAAGAGAGAGTTTTGTGCTCTGGATCCTGATTTGAATAAGAAGGCTATAATGAATAAAGGTGAGCAATATCAGGTCCAATTTACCAGCCTACTTGTTAAAACAAGCAAAGAGTAGAGACTATTATTTCTACCCAGAAGGACTCAGAATACAAATTTTGTGCAGGCAAACAATGGCTGGGAAGACACATGAATTCAGATACATACCTGTCTTCATAGTTCCCATCAGATGAGTACATATGTTGCCATTTGTGGTGTTCAAACCATGCCTCGCTTGGAGTTACAAATTTCATTCTTGAGCTAAAGCACAAAAGATACTTGAGTGTCATAATTTTTAAGTTCCTCCATAGTTTGCTCTCTAAAACATTAAGCTTTAAAGAGTAGCCATTTGGACATAGCTGAATGCAGCTGATATACAATGGAAAACATTAATGTAAAATATCAAAATTTACAGCATTCCAATTCTATTTTAATTTTTATTTTATTTTTAGTTAATCTTTATGTGTGTGAAATGACTGCTTGCCTTTCCTTCTCCCCCCCAGTATCTGTACCTTTCAAAATATTCCATATACCACTCGCTTTGGAAAAAAAAAAAAAATATTGCTGCAGCTACCTCAAGATGTACTTCTCTTTGCTTTCTTAATTTGTTATTGTTCCACTGTGCCTCATGGTACAACAAAGGTTGTTAACTTTCAGGTCAAGCTGGCATCTCTTGTAGATTCTTATCCCACTTTAATTACGTAAGTGTACCCAAGTCTATTCTGACGTGTCATACATAGAGATCTACTTGATTTTTTCTTCAATTCCCTTTGGAGTGTTTTGCGTCATTTACTTTTCAGAACTATTTAACTAAAAGTACTGTATACAAAATTTACTGACTGCTTCATTAAATTTAATACATGTTAGGTTTCTAGTCATTGCAGTACCTAGATGCTCTATTCCTGTAGAAAATCAATATGTGCAAATAAGAACTTTCATTTATCTGCTATGATTGGATTATGTTTTGTTAGTGACTTGTTTTATTTCCTTATAATGAATGCCATTGCTCATTTTCTTCCTACAGGAACTTTTGGAAAATGTGGTAGAACATATAAAACGTGGTATAATATAGAAACTTAACAATACACCAATGGTGTAAGGGTAGTTTTCCATGTAGCTTTGAATAGCAGTGAAAGCAATGCTGAGAATGAGACAGTCTGTAGTGTTATGCTTTATGAGCACTCCTTAACACTTCAAATGGAGGGTTTTGATCCAAATAATGGACCATTTCTTATCCCAAGACTAATATTCCCACCTCCATAATAAGATCCAATTAAAATCTCCATAACCCATCTATGAACACCTTATTATTAAGGATTATTGAGTACCAACTCTTGTTTGCTTTTGTGGAACTGAAAAATTATTATTTCTTCATTTCTCTGGTCTAAACAACCATTAAATAAACCAGTCAATAAGAAAGTTGTGTGGAAATAAATAAATAAATAAATAATATATTTTTAATTTATCTGTTAAAAGATATATAATTTTATTATTTTATCAGTATAAGTTAATCAAACACTGATTCTGATAAATAGAATTCTTTTATTTTCATTCTTTACTTTCTGAGGACTTTATATGTTTATAGGCAAATATAAATTTGAAATTTTCTTTTCTTTAAATTTTTTCTCCCAAATATTTTGTAATTCATTTTCCTCCCTTTGTAAAGTTGTATAGTGTACTTGTTTTTGTTATTTTCATTTTTATTTCTGCTGTTTCTTTTTTTTCTTAATAAATTCTTTCTCTTTTTAAATGTCTTTTGCTTAGTCTTTTCCTCTTCCTCTTTCATATTCATTAGCACTTACTTTTTAGGCTGCCATAATAAGTGGTGTCAGTTTGCAAGTCAGCAATCATGACTTTATAAATGTAATGGAAATATAGTATTGGTTGTGTACTGTGATTTGAACATCATTCTTTTGGTTTGTATTATTTGATATTATATTACCACCCTAATAAACTAAATAAATAATATAAATTGTAATAGAATATCAACAATAGTATAATATATTTTGTTAAAGTGATGAGTTTTCTGAATATCCTGTTTCAACACTTGCTGACTGCTATAGAAACAATCCTTTATTTAAAGTTATTAAATTTACAGAATAGCAAATCAAGAACTGAAAGGGCTACTGTATTTATTGTGCTGTTTCTTAGATCTCCTTAAAATGTTAATGGAGTATAGAGAAGGATTGTCTGGCTCAACACATTGATTTATTATTCATTTACTGATAAATTGATTGATAAGAGACATAACTAAGACACTAAATACCAACGTTAGAAAACAATGTGTGAGGTTTTCATGATATATTAGTATAAGCATTCGTCTATACTATTAGCTAGTGCTTTGACATTTCTGCCCCTGTGTAAATCATTACTGCCTGTAGGTGTAGCCTTAATTGAAAATAAGCAAGCTTATCAGCAAGAATTGTATGTTCAGATTGGCGACTCAGTCTAGATTTAAATACCTGTTTCAAGAGCAATATTTTCCTTTTAATGTGTGCCAAATGGAGCCTAGAATGTTCTTCGTTTGTTATTTTTCGTAGGTAACTATATTCACTATATTCTGCTACCACACTATGACATTATTCCTTTATAAATTTGCATTTACCTTAAAGAGAAAGCATGTAGCTTTACATCTTAATTTTATTTTTTCTTAGCATTAATTTCTAGACAATAAAGGCATGTATTGTAACAGTGATAAAGTTTTGTAACCACTGAATTTGACACCTAACCTAGACAAAGTGTATATGAAAAAAGTGTATATACTCTGAAAGACAGTAAATGTGGCAAAGGCTTTGTTAACAGTGGCAAACATGAACCTAAAGAAAGCTGTTTGATTTAATATATCTAGTGATTCGTTCAGATATAATTCTTTAGAGATACATGTAATAGAAATGTCAGTATGTCCAAGTTATGACACTGCTATAAATAATGTAGGGTCATAGTTTTTATAAACTGCCTGCTGAACTACTTCTGTACACATAGGTTTCTACTGGCTCAAGTGAGAGTCTGCTTTGAGACACTTAGGTGGCTTTTAAAACTGTGATTATTTCAGATAAGATTCAGACTACCAGTACTGTAAGTTTAATTCTTTTCAAGGACTTCTGACACACTGGCATGATACTATATGCTTCAAGAATAAGTAGTGGGCAGTGATGGGAAGGCAAATGTGAAGGGTATGATGCATCCCATTCTAATAAAACCATTCTTATGGTCCACTTAAAATAGAGATTTAATTTTCAGTGATTTTCTTTTACAGGTCATACATATGGGATGGGTAAATGAGAGACTTGAAGGAACTGATTCATCTCAGCTCTACAAATCCAAGTTTCTGGCACTGAAGGGTTCATCCTTCTATATTTTCAGCACGCCACCGGTAAAAAATTAATATTTTTGTGGCAGTTTCATTGTAAATGGATACCTGTTGGTTATGTCTGGGTTTGTCTTCCTTTATCAAGTGAAGCTGTCAGCTGAGATTTCAAAATAAGTTAAAGCCAGAGATGCCACTGAATTTCAATAAGCTTTAGAAATTTAACCTCTTTCAAGGTCCTCTGAAAATCTTACTGTACCTGGATAGTTTACAGAATTCCTAGTGGGGAGTAAATGTTTCACTTTTTGAAGTTGTCAAGGTCAGGTTTTATTTTGGGTGGTTAGGCCAAATATTTCTTACCTTATTTATTCTAAGGTATTTGTAGTTGTAGTGAGTTGGCAGTTATTCTGTTTTCTTAAAGACAAGATACATCATGAAATAAAGCCCCCTGTGGTAATAGATACTTGTGAATTTTTCACACAGGCAAGGGATTGAAGCGTTACAGAGAATCCAGTGTTAAGTGTATAGCCTGAAAAAGTCTTGCTTGGATAATTTGCATACCTAGTAACAAGAATTCTGTTTCACAACAGATGACTTACCTAATACTTTTGTAAAAATTAGTTTAAAAGAATGAAACAGAAATGAGCTATAGAATTCTAGACTGTTTTTAAAAAGTGACCCGTACTTACCATATAACAGTGTTTAATCCCTTCTTTCTTTTTTTCTCCAGACAATCTTTGCTTTAAACAAATCAAAAAGAATAAAGTGTGTAATTAGAATGCCATTTCAGTTATACAACTTGCTTACAGTTTTTCTCAGAAGATGGTCAGTCTCCCAGTTTTGTCAGGTGATACAAAGAAAATCTGACCCTTTGTATGTGTACTGTCTGCAATACCTTTGGGAAGCACATACTTTTCAAAACTTATTTATGAGACTCAGTGAAATGCTATAAGTAAAATTTTCCTCTCTCTAGATTGAAATTCTTAATCCAATGATTCCTATCAAATTCAAGCATTTTAAAATAGCCAGTAATTTTCCTTTTAAAATGAGACTTCTGAGAAAAGCAGGGGTTCTATCCCTCTAAAAACTGGGGGTTTAAAATGTTAAGCCAAAGAACTAAAATTTGATTCAATTACTACAATCCAATTAAAATGTAAAAACAATGCAGAAATGTTAAACAAATAACTAGCACACCCCATGAATGCTTTTCCTCTATAAATTTTAATTGTCATTTTCAGACCTGTTTTTAAGACACATATTTGATATAATTAAATTATCTATCTACGTGATACTAACAACTTTGGGATAAACAACTTCATTTACCATACTCTGTTAAGAACAGACAAGTGAGGATGATTGTTTGGTAGTGTTAGTACAATGTTACTTGACAGAATCTGATATGCTCTGCCATGTTTCTGCACTTTTTTTTTTTTTTTTTTTTTTTTTTTTTTTTTTTTTTTTTTTTTTTTTTTTTTTTAGGACTTTCAAAAAAATGAACAAAAAAGACCCCTTTGGTCAATATACTATGTCCTCCATATACTGTAATTAGCCAGTAAATGTGACAGTCTTTAAGTCATAAAAGCTGTTGATTAGTTTTCTTGCTTTTTAATCATTCCACAGATGGTTTTTATCGGGGGAAAAACAAGTAAACAAACACCCCAAACAAACAACAAACAACCAAAAACCAAAAAGAACACCAGCAACCACCCACTTGAAGAATTCAAACATGGATCTAAAGCCACAGTTTGATTCTGATTATCAGTCTCTTAAGGGCACCTTCAGCCCTGGCTTTTGCTGACTCCCTTCCCCGGGGCTCACCCCAAACTTCCCACAGCCCAGGATCCCATTGCAGCCGCACCAGTGCAGCAGGGCCAGTCTCCAGCTTCACAGCCCTGTCCTGCCCAGCTATGAGCCCCTGGCGAGCCACAGCCACCCAGGGTCCCATGTCCAGGCCCAGCCTCAGCCCATCCCTGCTGCCAAGGAGATGCCTGGTGCCCAGAGCTGGGGATGTCCCAGTCCCCCTGGCTGCCCTGCTCCTGGCTGGGACATGTACTGGGCCTGGCTGGGATGGAGGTCACTTTCTTCATAGCAGCCCATGTGGCAGTGGGTTTCTTATTTGTGGCCAAAGAAGTGCTAACACACCAGTGTTTTAGCTGATATTGAACAGTGCTTGTACAGCCCTTCTGTTGTCACACTGCTCACCCAGCAAGCACCGTGGGGATGGGCAAGGGGTTGCGATGGGAGGCGGGGAGGGAACACAGGCAGGACAGCTGGCCCAAATAAGATGAGGGGTATTATGTACCATAAAACATCATGCTCTGCAATAAAAAAATGGAGATTTGGTCTTCAAAAGAAGCTAATGCTTGGAGACTCTCTGGACATTGGTCTGCTTGGGGTGAGCAGTGTGCAATCACCTTTGCTTCAATTGATTTCTTCTTCTTTCCATCACTTATTAAACTGACTTTATCTTGCCCCAAGAATTTTCTTAAATTTGCTTTTCCTATTGTCTCCCCCATCCCATGGCAGGGCACAGGGAATCAGTGAGCAGCTGGGGGGATGTTTTGAAGTTGGCGGGGATCAGCCCACTGCAGGGTGATGGGATGGGAACTAGCTGGCAAGGACCCTGCCCTGACAGACCTCAGGGGAGCTCCGATGGCATCCAGGGAGCCACCAACCCATGCTGTGCCCTGACACTGGTTCTGTGTCACATGTCCCAGCTCTGTAGCTGAAAACACGGGTCCCCACACAAGCTGTGCATAGACCTCTTTCACTATTTCTAGAGATACTTGAGGGTATTGCTCTTACCATTACTCCTACTGACATTTATTTTGTTTTTACTTGGAGAGGAAGAAAGTGTTCTATCACAAAAATACAGATGTTTTAACTTGTTTGATCTTTAGAGATACAAGGTTAATGTGTTTTATTTCAGAGATGTTGCTATTGCTATTTGTATACTGAATTTGTATACTACAGCATATCAGTGTATCAATGTACTGAACACAGAGCAGATGACCTGTAAATTCTACGCTTATCTTTATCAGTAACTTTACTGCTGCCTGTAAAAGGCTCTAGTAGAATTTCCACTCTTTTTCTATTACATTGTGTGTAAAAGATGACGTGAATGTAAATGCAGCTGCTAGCTTTCTTAAGAATGGATAACATAGTTACCCATGAGCAAAAATAAAGACAATTGTGGAAATATGTGGTTATTATAATATGAAAGAAATCACTATGGCAAGTAATATTCTATTTATACATTATTTCTGCAATATCTCAGATGGTGCTTCCAAAAATGTAGAAGTTTCACCATAGAAGTATGTATCAAGAATTATGTGATTAGCAGAGAATTGTCTTTCTGCATCTCTGAAGAGGTTTATCTGACTGCATTTAAGATATTTACAGTTTTCATTTACAGACTGCTATATTACAATTGTGACACATTTCTGAAAGCTGCATATCTGAAAAACACCATTGAGCAGATAGAAATTGTTCTTGTGTCACTTTTATTATGCAAGCAGTATTTTATTACATTCTAAAAGCATCTGTATAATTTTTTACAATTTTCAGATATTGAAAAAGTTTGGAATTTTTATTCTGGTAGAAATTGAGGAGAAAGTATTTGAAATCATCGTTCAAAATCAAACTACTTTTTATGTCATTGAAAATTTCAGAAAAAAAAAATTGAGTATTTTGTTTTCAGGGAATATGGGTTACATGAAGAAGATGTTTATAGTGTTTCATTTTTTAAAGCTTCCTCATAGTTCATTAGGCTTTTTCAATTAAAGTCTTCAAGTAGCCATGTCTTTGGATCTACTGTGTGACCCTTAATTACAAAACTGTCTTTTTCAATGTGATTAAATAAATAGCACTGAAGTGATTTACATGAGGGCAGCTAGGCAATCACTGCTTGTGCTGTGTGGAGTTTTAAGGAAAGAATGAATACAAGAATAATATGAAAATAACAGAAATAGTTCTGCCTTTGACACACAGTACAGAGAAGAGAAGATTGCACGGTGTAATTCACACAAGCAGTGTTTTAATGTTAGTGAATACTGCTGTGTAAGTTCTAAATATTTCTCTTGGTAATTTACGTTATACATTATGTCAGTGTAACATATTGGGAGAGAGGTGGCAATGATTTGAAGGCTGTAGGCTTGACCATGAATGCTTTTGGTGAATTTTCTAGCTCTACACCCAAGTCTTTATCTTGATCACATATTTGCCAGGATCTGACTGCACTTTAGTGTGTATTTTGCACTATCCAGTTTTCAGTTGATTTGAGCACCTTTAGGATTCTTATAATGCCATATCATAATTCATCTCAGGACCATGTTTCGATTTCTTGTTTTCATTTTTAATATCTTATAATTTTTCTTTTAATTATTCTTGCTTCATTTTCTTTTTCCATTGAGGAGTGAAGAACATAGTGAAACTACTCTCCGATTGGACCTTACTTCTCCCTGGCCCTTTTTAATACTTCTGGGGAGATTGGATACTTCTGCTTAGTTCTCAGATAATGCAGCATGTTCTGTATTCCAGTAATAAATATCATAGACACTTTGATCTTTTTTCCCTTAAGTTTTATTCTTTTTTTTATTATTATTTATATATATATATATATATATATTGAGGGGCTCTGGAGAATTCTAGGATTCAGTGTTCAGAGGAAGTCAAAAAGTGTGTTCTGTTCATTTTAACTTTAGCAAGTTTTGAAGTGTGACTCTTACATTCACCCCGTATTTCTTTATTTAATGGTGATCTCTGAAAAGGCATGATAGCCTTTTATGCCTATTTTATAACTGCAAAACTCTTGTGTAGGGAGTAACTTCTTGAGTTTGTTGTTCATTGCATGTGTTTGTTAAAATTAGTTTAACTTAACTGTTTTCTCGCTATTTTAAATCATAACTTTTTAAAGAAAAGCCAATGATTAACACACACACTTAAAGCTAAACATGTTTGGAATATGAGCACGAACTGATGCATGAAATTGCAGTAAAAAGTACTTCTGCACCACTTGGAATTTCTGTAACTCTACATGCTTATTTCAGTCTCTCAGTATGTACTTAAAATTGTAACTTCACATTCCTATTTTTATAGCTTTGTTTGTTTTTGTTATCTTTTTGATCAGCTCAGTTTTATCTGTGCTTAAAAATGTGTTATTTTTATCTATTCTAAATATACCTTTTTGAAACATTTTGTCAAATGCTTCGTAAAAAATTATTGTCATGCTAATATAATCCCAAGAAACTGCAGTTTATAGAACACCTACAGGAACAGTTCCAAGGGCAAATAATGAGAAAAGCTATTTTATTGCCTGAAAAATATACTTTAGGATCTCATTTATCTTAGTTACTTATTACCTAGGTACTAAATGTGTGATGATGGATAACCTGAAATAAACTGAAACATTCTTTAAATCAAATGAAGGTAACTGCCCTTTTTTTGGACTTTTTGGATTATATCCAGCTTTTCTCCTTGACTAGAAGTATATGATTATTCATGAAGCCATGCAGTCTATAAAAATAACATTTTAAACTTAGACATACTATGATAGTTCTGATAAAACTATGAATAATGCTAGCTTTCTTTTTAGATTCTACTGTTCCTTTCTAGTATGTTTTTTTGCCTCTTTAAAATTGCTCTCAACTTGTCATTTGTATTCTGATCACCTTGCGGTGATATTTAGGCTGTTTCACTCTTTAAGTGTGGTAGCCTTTCTCTGACATACACAGTAAAACAGAATCTTGGCTTATATACACTTAATACCATCACTAGCTATCTTTGCTGAAAAAGTCATAAGAGGTTACACAGCATCAAAAGATGAAAGAGATGCACAGGATAATGGGAAGAAGTCTGAGGTATTCAGGTGAATTGAATGGCACAGCAGTGTCACCATTGTCCATCATTAATAGCAGCAAAGAACCTCAACAGTTTAAATTAATCTTCAGGAATCAAAACAAATTATATGAGCAAATGAAAGTATATTCATATCTCAAGACCTTTCAGGTTATAGCCTGTGCCACTAAAGCCAAATTCATAAACAGCAGATTAAGTTGGTGCTTATGCTTTTATGTTTGGCCACTAATAGTGATGAAGGGTTCTTCTGTTGTTAACTGAGGTGGAGAAGAATCTTTACCTTCAAGAAATTTAAGATCAGATAATGAACCCATTTTACTCTAAATCTTATTTTGCAAGAAGCTTAAATATCCCTTTTGAGGATCAATAGTAATGGGATAAAACATATATTATTTAATTATTTTCTTTTCAAAACAGCCATCAGAGTAAAAAATATTTCCCTGGAAATAAGATGAAGCAAAAAGACCTGCTCTGTGATAAAGCAAAGTGCTTGCTCTATGTGAGCATGTTTAAATGTGTATTTCTTTATGAATCAGCTTTATAATTCCTCAGTTTCAGTTTTTTCAAACCTTGTGTTATCTCTTACTTGTAGCAATAATTGCAAAGCAAATCTCATATAATATATTGAATGGACCTTGCGACAATGAAAACAGAAATGGAAATCTAAAAATAAAAACATATGACTCTAAAAATTGCTACCTTTTATGAAGTGACTGGAGGATAAGTTAATACCTAAAATTTCTTTTAATTTATTTTCTAAAAAGCCCAACATTAGATTTAAATTTTAAATCTTCTTTTAAGTGGTACTATGTACTTTTAAAATTAGCTTTATATAATGTTCTTAGTTTTATTTTATGAGAAATTGCTCGTAATAATGCAGAAAGTATGTAACACATTTTTACATATTCTTGTGTATGCATTTATTCAAGTGAAGTTTGAAATTTGATAGTTAAAATATAAAAACTGTAAAGTGGAAGTGGAGAATCCTAGACTATGAGTCTCTTTATATCCTGAAAAGATGTGGTTGTAGAGCTTCTTCTTCAAGAGATCTTCAATCCTATTTCAATAGGTTGTTCTTGTATATAAATTTAATTATCTCAAAAAACTAATCTGATCTTAGAGAAACTGGGAGAAGGCTAGATTATTGGGAATTAGATCAGATTGTTAAAATAAGAAAAAAAATAGCACCAAGTTCACATTACTCCTCCAAAGGACTCTAAAGTAAAATTTAATAACAAAGAGTCTTGTCAATATGCCCATAAGTGCTGTAGTGGTTTAGATTCTTGTTATTTTGTTGCAATTCTATTTAATGGCTTAGATTTTAAAAAGATCTGAAAATCAAACTTTAAAATAAATTTTAAAAAACCAAAGTATGCTGATCTCCATGCAAATCATCAGGATATATATCAGAATACTGCTTTTAATGGGTGAACTATGTGCTACTGTGAACACAGAGAAAAAGAATCTGTTATTGAATTTCATAGGTTTTTCCCAGTTAAGTTTAATCCAAATAAGCCAGATGTTTCACAACAAAATTTTGCTTTACCTAAACAGTTTAATTTGATTTTTTTTTCCACTTTTTTTTTTTATTTTGGGTGAGTGTCAGGAACAGGACAAAGCTGTATCAGCCCTAGAATTTGAAAATATCCTAGTTACTATTAGAGTTACCAAACCAGTAATTTCCATATGCAAAGGGCCTCAGAGTTACAACTTAGTAAAATCCTACATATATCTATGCAGCCATTCCTGTGCTAGCATTCACCAAGAGCTAGAATTTTGCTTTAAAATATATGAGCAAAAGTAAAGTATATTCCCCTTGTATTTTTCCTGTGTATAAGTTCTTTTTTGCTTTCTTTAACTACATAGGCTGGGTACTGTTTTCAAAAGAAAACAGATTGTCACATTGTATCACAAAGTAGAATTTTGGTAAAAACTTCAAATGTCATTTTTGCTGTCAAGTTTTAACAACCTGTCATGTCAACAGGATTAAGTAACAAAATCAGAAGAAAACAAAAAATAAGTGTTTTCATATTATTAAGCACATGGTTGACATTGTTCCTAATTTCAAATATTTCATTCACATAGTCCTAGTTTTAGAATAAATATTGAGTTACTGACACCCTAATGCATGTAAACTCAGACCTGAATTTAGGAATACATCTAGTTCTGTTGGTTCCAAGATTTTATTGAGACATGAAGCTGAATGACTGTGTTTAAAAGTCTGGATTCTCTGTTTTAACATCTTGAAAAATAAATATACTAACAGAACTCACCTCAGAGATTGCAAAGAACTTCCGTAATACTCATTAAAAAATCAATTAATTTTTTTAGTATCTTTTAATTACACTAATACTGTTTCTGTAGAAATTGAATAGTATTTGCTGGATATTAAGTGTAGCAATGTGCCTGTATTTAAAGCATCCAGTAAAATAATGATGGGTGAAATCTTTTTAGTTTTTTCATCTCTACAAGATTTTTGTATAAAGAATGTGTTGACAATATTTTCTTTTGATGTTATAGGTAAGCACACTAGACTGGGTACGAGCTGAAAAAATCTATAACCTCTGTGAGGTTCTATTTAAAATTCACAAGGTAGGTTTCCTAATGATTACAATGACATTATTTAGTTTAAAAAGCTTGCTTTTTCCTGTTGATAATAAGCTCAAGGTAATCTTAACTAGGAGTAACTAACATTCATCTGTTGTTATAAAAATGATTTGTAATCTTTAGTGCATTAGCTGTGCAATTATAAGAGCATATGGAACATGGATTAAGCTTCAAGTGAGCAAGTTACTCAAATGCTTTCATGTTGAAGAAAGTTTTCAGTATTAGAGCTGGTTGTATGAAGTACCAGTGAGACACACAGCTAAGTATAACAAGACTACTTTTTTCTTAATAAGTCAGTTTTTTGGGCAAACATGATGCAAAATGCTCTTACTATAAGTTTTTACCTATATAAATATTTTTCTTTAATTTCAGTGACTACAAATATAAAATTATGTCCTTGTTATTTTGTGTATAATTTGCAAGCATTACAGTAGGTAATAGTACAATATGTTTTGCCTTAAAAAGGGTAACATGTTGGATTTGTATTCCATAGGATTCATTTTCTTCCCCCAACTTGATACAGTCATGTTTTCTGTCTAGCTTGTCCCAAGCAAGGAGTTGGGGCAAAAAAATTAAATAATTGACTTACAGAATATATTTTCTAATAAGTGGCATCAGATAGATTAATTTTGTTTTCTACTACTTAATCAAAAACTGCTTTGGAGGTGAGATAATGCTACATGAGAGCCTATTTATCTAGGACAGTAAAAAAACCCCATATTTTCATGAAAAAAAATAAAAATTCATCTTTTCAGATAAAATACCATTTCACTCAAAGATTACAGCTCAGCTTTGCTTCTCAGTGGCTGCTGTCCTTTTTCTTTTAACCATGTACTCATGTTGTGGAAAAGGCAGCTTGTTGCCCATTTACCTGTACAGATCCTGCACTGAAAAAGCAGTCCTTATGGGTTTAGTGAAGGGGTTTTGTTTTGTTTTGGCATTTGCTATTGGTTTTGGTTTTGTTTTGAGGTTTCTTGGTTGGTTGGTTGGTTGGTTTTGCTTTGTATTGTCTTTTGTTTTGTTTTTTTTCTGATGCAACAGTTATTCAGGACATAGAAAGGAAGGGTTTTGGTCAGTGCCATGACAGGAAAAATGACAATCCTGGAGTTCAGAACTAGACCTCAACTCCACAGTGCAAGACACAGGAGCACAGCCATATTCTTGTAGGCATGGCATTCCTTTAATGCAACCAGCTGGGTTTATGTGGGCAACTTTGGGTCCTGCTCATCACTGAGACACCAACAAAAAGCAGAGATTCTGCCCCAGATGATTTGTTCATTCTCCTCAATATTTATTAAAATTTTACTCTTTACTGATAAATATGTCAGGCACCAATGAAATATATACTCAGTATGCCTTTTGAAAAGATTTTGGCTTGAGTTTTGGTTTTGTTTTTTTCTCCTTTAAATGTTACTGCTGAAACTCAGTCCTTTCTTGAGTATTATGATAATTTCAAGGATATTCTGTCCTTAAAACAACTTCTGTGATACTTTTTCATTAAAAAAAAGAGTGGGGAAATAAACTATCAAAAATTCAAATCTTTAATGTTCTTGACATTTTAATAAATGAGTGCTTAATTACCAGTCTTCATGAATATGTTAGCTAAAGTGCAAAAGCCCAAGTTCAGCTCTTTAACCTCCTTTGTGTTGATTCTTTAGTATAAATGGCAGTGAGACAAACTGAGCAAATCCAAAAAGATAGGAAAAAATCTTAAGGGATTAAGGTTTCTGTATTGCATATGAAAGACAGAGTTATGTTATCAAAACTGCTGTTTGGGGAGGGTCTTAAGGATTTTCAGAAGCTGGTTAGAATTAGCACAGAACTGTGATAGAGTGTGCTATTTTTAGTTCTTATGAAAGATGGATTTGAAGGAGAGATGCTCTTATTACATACCTAACTGTAAGCTTCTCATCTATGTTTACTTTTACACAAAGTTAAGCATGGAAAATTAGAACCCAGTATGGAATTTACATTTTGAAACAAAATGTTTGATATATTTTAGATTTGTATGTGTGTATACATTTATAAAGATACACATGTTTGCAAAGACAAACATGCATATGCAAATATGTGAATTAAAATTTTTATATATAACATGCCTTGCATAATTGTGGACATTTGGTGATAACAACCAGATAACTGAAAATGTAAAATCTTTTATCACAGGTGTTTATCCCTGTTGCCTCATAATTCATCTTTATTGGAACTTGTTATTGGGGCAAGAATATTAGACACATTTGTAAAAGCCACCTGTCTTACATACATTTTATGTTCTTTTATTGCCTGGTATTTTCATATACCAATTACAAAATATTAATATAGTAGTCTACAAGCTATATGCAGTATGTGCTGCAGTGAGCTGTGAAGCAGATGTAATACCTGTCACTCCATAGCAGCTGAACACCAGAACAAACGCAGTATTTTGTTCAGCTTCCTTTTCAACAGTCCAGAGGGGTGTTGTAAAAGAGCTTTGAGATTCCTCAAGTCTCTTCTCAGGTAGCTGCAGGGCCAATTTTGACAACAAAGTGCTGTCTACCAAGGTGCCGCATGAAACATCCGTAGATCTGCAGGCTAGACTGGAGAAAATTACATAAGGTTGTGTGTGTCAGCTTTATATTAGTCAGTAATTCACCAGCACAAGCAAAATTTTCAGTTCCAGTTGATTTCCAGTTTTGATTCTGTTTATGAATATGAGAGCAGTACATAGAGGAGTGTGTGGTAGCAGAGTATTTGTTTCCTCTGCTTTTTGTTACTAAACAGGGGATCTTCACTGCTGCCCTGTCAGTATACTTGAGTGTGTATCTAGAACAGGAGGAACACAAGACCCTGAACATTAATTTTACATGTATCAGAATATTTTAAATTACACTTGGATGCTAAAATGTCAGTTGTTTGTTTTCATGTGCATAGAGTTTCAACTACAGCCTCAATAGGCAATGATAGGCTAGTAGAGGTTATAGAAAACTAAATTCTGAACCTTTATACAACTTATCCAGACTATAAGATTCTAGGACTTGGGTACAGCACAAAGCTGCATGCTAATCTTTTCAAAGACACCTAAATCCAGTTCAAACATGACTGCTCAGATCTGCTTGACTAGATTCAGATTTCCAAACTTAAACTGGAGTGCTAGAGAAAAACAATTCTATTTGCAAGTGACTTTAAAAAATAACATAATTTTCATTGCTAATTATTTTGTTCTTTCAATCTTTTCTGCCCCATGATATCATAAAGAAATAGAGATAGAAAAGGGCCCTATCTGATAAACAGAAATTTAAAAATATGTGTAATTTGGAAATTTAGGCTGTGAAAATTTCTAGATGTGTAAGTAGTAGCTTTTTTTATTTAGTTTTCTTTTTCTCTATATTTATGCTAATCAATGAAGTCGAAATATTAGGGAAGTTTCTTGTCTGAATTTGTTTTCATTTACAAAACATTCTATTATGGAGATATTTTTATTATGAAAGTTTAAAGTGAAGTTTCTCTTCTTTATCTTGAAGGTGATGGCAGGATCTCGCTTTGTTCTCCTTGTAGTTACAGAACAGCATTAAGGCTATCAGGGGACATGCTTATGTTGTCATTTCCAGAATTAGCTCTTGGTACTTGATAAATTACTCCATTCACTCCTAGGGGATTAGCATATTGGAACCCAATTAGAATGGACGAATTATAGTCTCCTGTAGGGCTGTCACACAGCTCTCAGATTATATTCAAAGAGGGATTTCCTTCCTTTTCACTGTAAAAAATCTATTGGTACAAACTAATTTTAAATTCTATATGTATTGCTTAGGTAATTTTGACAGTATTTTTGGAACTGAAGAAATATCTTGGATTATGTGATACAGAGTAAAGTGAATATGAAGCAAAGAGAGAAGTTGTCTTTGACATTATTACTTAATTCTTAGACCATTCTTCAAGGTAATTAATGACATAATGCCATAACATACCCATCAACTTACAGAAGAGAGTGTTGCTTCAACTGTTTGCTTTTGACAGATGAAGAATCACGTACTGCAACATGTCTTTCAGCTCTGGCTTGCTGATGATTGCTGGCTACAAGCAAACTTGTATTTAGGTATTCATCAGGACTTTGATCTTGAAGACCAGAGGCCATATTGTTTCAGTGTTATGGCTGGACACGGAAAGAGTCATTATTTCAATGTAGAACTGGGCAGTGAATTGGCCATGTGGGAGAAATCATTTCAAAGAGCAATTTTCTTGGAAGTTCAAAGAACAGGGGTAAGTAATGAATAATTTAAATCCTGGAGCCATTTCATCAGTAAAATAAGTATAACAAATGTTTAGGTTATTCGTCTGTTTAATAACTGCATTAGATTGATGCCCTCCATGACTAAGGATCTGAGTGCATTTTAATACACTGAAGTTTACTGAAAGCTTCATCGTATCAATATTTTTTTGTCAATGACTATGTAATGACAGTCAGTGAGCATGTTATGAAAGCTTGAAAACTTGAATTAGTAATACATAAGTTGACCTTGATTATTACAAACTGGAAATGAATAAATTTTACTATGGAAAATTCTCTGGAGTTTGCTAAGTCCACCTTGAACATTTTCTTCCAGAAAGCTTATTTTCCTCTCAGGTAAGGTAAATATGTTACATTTTACATAATTGTTCTCTTTTTAAAGAAGAAATATTTTGCTGTTATATTGTTAATTGTGGATTGAGATTGTCCTTGTTAACACTGGAAGAGTTAGAACACTCAGCATGAAAGTCAAAGGGAAGTTTGTGAAAGTCCTAAATTCTCAAAATTAAACAGCAGATTATCACTTTCTACTGGATAGTTAATCTAGATTCATATTCTCAAGGGAACTAGGGGTATGGGAGTGTATGGATTTAGACTATAGGCCTTCTCCAGTTAAAAACATGTTTACACAGTTTAGCACAAATGCAAACTTGATTTGGTATGCTCAGGTTTGCAGGAACCTCCTATAAATGTTTGAAATACTGAGTACACTGGATCACAGCACTGCATTAGCACAGCTTGCAAGGAGTCCCATCACAGGTGTTGAATCAGCTTATCTGAATTTTTAAATCTCTGGGATTCTAATGAGGTTTCTGGGTTCTGACAAGGTACTTGCTTAGAACCATTCTATTTGTCCCTTTAGACTGGAGTAATAAAGAAGAGTTTTTAATGGTAATACTCTTGCTCCTGCACTTCTGAGAAAGGATGCAGTTTTTCAGGAAAAAAAATTGATTCTTCCTGAAAAATTGTTGGGCATCATGGAAGGATTAATAATTCGTATGGAATATTCATCAAGTATTTTCTGACGTATTCTTCAAGAAATTATGATACAACTCTTTGTCCAGTCATTCAATTCTCCTATTTTTTATCCACATAAAAAGCAGTTAACATATAATTAAGTATAGCAAAGGTGGAGATTCAGCTGGTTCTGTATTCGGTTTAGTTTTGGAATATTCATTGTTAAGTCGCAGAACTTGTTATTCTTTTATATTGTAACAATCTTAAGGAATTACTTGTGGAATGGTCTTTTGTCATTTGAATCCAACAGTCCTCTAGCCTCATTTCACTCAAAAGACATTAATATTTCCTGCAGCTGTGGTTTAACCTATCTGAAACGTCCAGGAGAGGTGTTCAAATAAAATCCTGATTACAGTGCTTAAATCTCCATATGTGTGTTCCCATATCTTAATTTTCTCTCACACAGTTGGATAGATTCAAGTTTACTGTAAACCACTATGTCAGTAGGGTGCAGAGTGCTAATGTCACTCTCCAGCAGTGAAAAGTCTTCTTACTCCACTATTTTCTTTCTTCCCTCAAAATATAAATGCCACTGTGAATGCCTTTCTTTTCAGAAGTATATCAGAAGCAGCATGAGTGAGGTGCAACTTAATATTATATAGATTATTTCAAACCATAGAAAAATTTAAGGTATGTTAGGATGTCCGTTAGTATGCTAAATTGTCCATTAAAGTTCTTTCTTTTGGAGAATTTTGAAATTTTTTTTTATTCATAAATGATTGGGAAGATTCATGGCAGGTGTTGGATTGCACTGTGTCATTTCAGCCATGCTTATTTAAATGTGGCTTGATTCTGTTTACTGTTGAGTGTTAGGATCACGCCTATGAGTTGTTATTAACCTTCTCCTGTACATATCCTTTGTATTTGGTGTTTCTATAATAAGAACTATATTTCTGAGAAGATTTCATCCTTGTATATTTTATGAAAAGAAATTTTAAGGTGCAGTGGTCCTTTGAATTTTAACTGCCCATGTTGTGTGGGCTTTTGTTATACTTTTCTTCTGAAGATGGCAGCAGCATTTAGATTCAGAAAGAATGCAATAAAGGAGGAAGAAACCCCCCTCACAATATTGTTCCCCTCTCAGCTATCTTAAAGCCTTATTCTAAGAAACTCTGAAATTCAATGACTCTGATGAAATTAGTCTATTTACAGGCAATGGTAGCAAGCAAATGCACGTTAAATCCATATGCCAGAAATATATGTATTTTTTTACTAGAAGAACTATTGTGGTTGCTGGTGGCGTAACTACAACAGATGGGGGCAATAAAAATGCAATAGAAGTATGAGAGAAAGGCAGTTGAAAGGGGAAAAAAAGTACCGTTAAAAAGTATTTCCATGAGGCTGGTAATAAAAGTCAGTGTTGCAATGGAGGAAGATAGGCAGTGAAGTCCTCTGAATCATAACTTGAAGATAAATCCTCTCCCACAAATCCTGGCAAGAATATTTGTCTCATCTGGAAAACATCCTAAAGAGTATAGGACCAGTAAATGATGCTGATATTAAGTAATTTTTATTCTTCTTTTTTTTTTTTCCAAGTTTTTTACAGTGTAGACAATCTTCAAAAATAAAAAGCTAGCACGTCTTCCAGAGCTCTTTGACCCTTCAGGTTGGTCTTGTCAATACTATGGGATTTTATTCCATGTTTTTTTAATGCTATCTTTTTTAAATTACTTAATCAGTATTCTTCCCTTGCCTCAGACTATTCTTTCAAAAGGAAATTATATTGACTCACCTGAGTCTTAAATGTGATTGTTAATTTAATGCAGAAACATCTCAAAGGGATGATTTGGATCAGTTCTGTTCAACAGGAGGATGGAGGAGGATATATAACCTGGCAGTGGACAGAGAAGAGTAACAGTAATACATTTCCCCATCAGCTGTAGAAAAATTAAACCAACAATTTTGACATCTTGAAACCTTGTGCCTTTAAGCTTTGTTACATGTCTGGAAGAAGACAAAGAGAAATCTGCTTCACAAATGGAAGAACTCTCAGGAGACTGAAAAAAAACATGCATGGAAGGTCATATGCCACAGTGTTTCCAAAATACCTGCAGTTGGTATATAGTGATGAGACATGATTTCATACTCTCCTCACTTGCAATTCTGACACAAAAGAAAGTTTTCCCATTATACTTCCAGCTGTGATGCAAATACTACGAGCTTTGTCCAATCCTCATACAGTTGAATAGCCTAGTGTCATGAAGCCATTTGCTTTGCTTGAACAAAATAAATGTTGGTTAATATCAGTTATTTCAAAAATTAAAATAAGTTGAATTCCACTCAATTATGAGAGAATATTCAAGGAATATTTCTGCCTGGTTATTTTCTATGCTTAAAAGTAAGTACTTTTAGTGAACTTCTGTTTTTTCCTGTGGTTTAACAACTGATCTTGACAGACAAATAAACCGTGGAAATAATAAAATTATAGTATATATTTGGTGAGGTCAGGGATATGAACGTATTGTGCTAAGAGAAATGTTAGCAGTAAAATTCATGTTCCTGAAATTATACAGATTCCCCCTGTGAAGAATATACCTTTCAAATAAAATAAAATAAAATAAAATTAAATTAAATAAAACAAACAAAAATATTAATGTTGCAAATTGTTTCACTTAGCAATATTGGAAATCCAAAACTGTAAATGAACATTGTACAATGCAATTATCATCTATTTTCCCTCTTTATAATTAATTTATTATGAATTCCACATTCTGTGGATGTTTTGTATTTTTGTATGCATTTTTATCATTTCCCTATTTTCCTAAGAGTTAACAACAAACCATTCTTTACAGTAAAATTCTTGATGCTGAGTATGTAATCCAGACTCACTGTGACTCATAATTGCTCTTTGATTATGTCTGTTCCTGGATAAATGCAAAAATAATTATTGGGAATAATTGTGCGTGCAGACCTGAAGCTTTGTGTCTAAAGAATGCCCATATGAAACATTTGGTTTTCTTTTTACAGATATTGTACTGCTAAAACACTATGATTGAAATTCCTGTAAAATTAAATAATAGATAAGGGCAATTCATAGTTTTGCTTTGCTTTGGAAGCAGAAATCAGTTCCTTTTACATTTCGGTCCGTCCAGCCAGTCTCTGTTTTCATCTCTGAGCCTGAGAGTTTTCCAGACTTAAAAATTACAGACATGAGAGTGACATACCTTACAGTATGCTGTACAGTATGCTGTATGACAAATCTATACAGTATACAGTTCACCATCTTCCTTCCCCAGACTTTAACATTTCTCTCCATACACTGTGTGTTCTCTGGGCTGATCTATATGAAATACCTGAGGAATCTACCATGTTATTGATTATTAAAAACAAAGAAACAAACAATTATTTTAAAGAAGTGGTTTACACAATAACGTTTCCACAGCTTTGTATTTCTTTCCCTTTTTGCTTGATGGAATAACTCTAAATAAGTGTTTGGTCCTGGCTACTTTTTGATTCCCTCTCTTCTACTCATCTTTTTAATTTCCTTGTAATATCTTCTCATAGATTTTGCAGGTTCATCAGTTGTCATTAATTTCTAACCTATTCATAATATTTTCATCTGAAAAAGATGAAGTTGCTTTCAGTGAAACATACATAGTTTATTGCATGAATCCTTTCAGAATCCATACAGTGGACTGGTTTTGATTTTCAATTCTTGCTTTCCTAGTAAATATTTATGGTTTTAAAGTTTTCTTTGTAAAACTTGTCCATGTAATGCTTCCCTCTCCTCCTTCCTTCGTAGCTCAGGAAATAATCTATGCAACCTCCTCATTCCAACAATTACTTGCTGTTTGTTCGAGACAATCACCTAATCTTAGATGCATGTTTCTGTTAAAAATCCTCTGAAAGGTTTCACTAGAACTAATTCAAAACATAAAGAAGTGAATAGATTATTTTTAACTGATTTCAATACGCTTTCAAGGAAAACAGTATTTTTTCTCATTTAGTTGACTAT